CTGGCACCGGCCCCAGGCAGGTACTAGATTTGTCCAGGTCCTTGACCTGTCCCTGCCCTGGTCTCCAGCCTCAGTGCCCTGTTCAGCCAGGGCCAGGTAGCAGAGAACCCGCCTCAGGTCCTTCCCAAGGGCCTTAGGCTCACCGCACTCAGCTGGCGTACAGCCCTGGTGCATGTCCCTCACCGCCGCCATCCCTTCCCCAGCGTGGTGATGGTGGATGAGGCACATGAGCGGACTCTGCACACAGACGTTCTCTTCGGGTTAATCAAGGACGTTGCTCGCTTCCGCCCTGAGCTCAAGGTTCTGGTGGCCTCAGCCACGCTGGACACTGCCAGATTTTCTACCTTCTTTGATGATGCCCCAGTCTTCCGAATCCCTGGCCGCAGGTTTCCTGTGGACATCTTTTATACCAAGGTGTGCCTTTGGGAGAGGTAGGCTGTGTGCCTCCAACAAAATGGGGCCTTTGAGCTCAGGAGAGGAGAGAGAGTTGGGATGGCAAATCTACAGGGGTGCCTGCGGGGGTCCTGCTGAGCGGGAGGAGTGTCCTGGACACGTGACTGCCATCTGCCTCTTGCCCCCTCAGGCTCCTGAGGCTGACTACCTGGAGGCCTGTGTGGTTTCAGTGCTGCAGATCCATGTGACTCAGCCCCCCGGGGATATCCTGGTGTTCCTGACTGGGCAGGTGTGGTGTGTGGGCACGGGGTGGTAGATCCAGGGAGATGGTGCCCACTTGGGACTGCACAGCCCTGGCCTTCTGTCCCAACCAGGAAGAGATTGAGGCTGCCTGCGAGATGCTCCAGGACCGCTGTCGCCGCCTGGGCTCCAAGATCCGTGAACTGCTGGTGCTACCCATCTACGCCAATCTGCCCTCAGACATGCAGGCCCGAATCTTCCAGCCCACACCACCGGGCGCCCGCAAGGTCAGTGGAGAGACTGCTCTGCTCGCCTTCCCAGTCGGGTGGTGAGGCAGAAGGTGGGTGCTGACGCTGCCACAGACATGGTGGAGGAGCAGCTGGGCCTCGCAGGGGGCTGGGGAGGTGACCCAGCAACACCAGAGTGCATGGCTGGGGCCTCAGCACTGCAGAGGTGCAGGGGTGAGGTGGGTTCAGTACCGGCCCTGTGGGGAGACAGGCAGGCCCGGGCCACGCGCGGGGGTGTGGGTGCGCGTACAAGGCACAGCACTACAGAACCGAAGCGCTGGCCTCCCATATTGGCCAAGGGGCTCAGACTACAGTCCAGTGGGTGGCAGTGGAGGATTCTGAGTGGAGAGGGGAACACTGGTGGGGAGCTGGGGGAATGCACGCCTGGAACTGGGGAGAAGTGCTGGGCCCCTCTGGTGCCGGGGTTGGTGGGCCATGTCCCTGAAGAGCAGAGCAGAGTCCTTCCCTTCATCAGCCAGGCCGTCTGTGGAGGCTGTGACCACACAAAGTCCTAGTGTAGGGTTGTAGTAGGAGCTGCCAGGAGGTGGGCACAAGTGGGATGGGCAAGAGCAGGACATCCCTCCTTGGCGTCCCCGAGCTGTCAGGAAGACTTCAGCAGGTGAGGAGCAGCAGGGACTAGGGCGCCTTGCGGGGGAGCTGGGCTACTCTGAAGGGCAGGGAAGCCAGCCAGCAAGGGCTCCAAGCGGGGCTCTGACTTGGGGTCCTGGATGACTTCGAGAGAGCTGCCTGGGCAGGAGGCGACAGCTTTATACTCCTTAAAGACAGACAGTTCAGGATACCCTGTGATGAGGGATGGGAGCAGAAGTAGGGATACTTATCAGGGGGACGTGACAGGAAAGCCATGGGAGAAGAGGGATTAGGAACCTGGATACCCCGTGTCCCATCTCAAGGTGGGGGCCCTGGATGTCTCCGTGCCCCCAGGTCAGTGGGAGAAATGTCAGAGTGACCTGAGGCCTCTCCCTCAGGTGGTCGTGGCAACAAACATTGCAGAGACATCACTCACCATTGAGGGCATCATTTACGTGCTCGACCCAGGCTTCTGCAAGCAGAAGAGCTACAACCCGCGCACTGGCATGGAGTCGCTCACAGTCACACCTTGTAGCAAGGTGAGCCTGGTGTCTGCGGTGGACCAGCAGATGCCCCCGAGCTGGGAGGCCCCAGAATCATGCATGGGCACTGCCCTAACCCTTGTCTCCTCCATGACCAGGCCTCTGCCAACCAGCGGGCTGGCCGGGCGGGCCGGGTAGCAGCAGGGAAGTGCTTCCGCCTGTACACAGCCTGGGCCTATCAGCACGAGCTAGAGGAGACCACAGTGCCTGAGATCCAGAGGACCAGCCTCGGCAATGTTGTGCTGCTGCTTAAGAGCCTAGGTGAGGGGCCGCGGAGATAGCTCAGTTGAGTGAGCGTGTGCCTGGCAAGCACAAGGGCCTGAGTTCAATCCCTGGGTCCCAGCAAAAAAAAAAAGCCGAGGTGACCAGTGACCCGAGCCCCAGGTTGGGCTGGGGTTGCTGGCCTGCCTGCGCTCACCTGTCACTCCCACTGCCCCAGGGATCCACGACCTAATGCACTTCGATTTTCTGGACCCTCCGCCGTATGAGACCCTACTGCTGGCGCTGGAGCAACTCTATGCCCTGGGAGCCCTCAACCACCTTGGGGAGCTCACCACGGTGAGGGCTGGTTTGGGGGCAGTGGGGGGCAGGCAGGGGCCTGGAGAACTAGTGTCACATGGCTTCCCTCTCCTCAGTCTGGGCGGAAGATGGCGGAGCTGCCTGTGGACCCCATGCTGTCTAAGATGATCTTGGCCTCAGAGAAGTAAGCCTTGACCACACCTGGGCCCTTGTGTATGAGCTGGGTGGGCTTCATGATGTAGGTTATTGACACATCTCTGCCAATTTGAACCTCTTTTTGGTCTTTTTATATAAAAAGTCAACCAATGAGGCAGTCCTGTGTGTAGCACTGGTGGTTCAAGCTGCCCAGAGTGAGACCTGTCAATTATGGCCCCGTCTTGAACATGTTGAGCTAGATGTGGTGGTCCACACCTATGATCCCAGCACTCTGGGAAGCTGAGGCGAGACATCACAAGTCTGAGCCCAGTGTGGACAAGTTAGTGACTTAGAAACCCTGTCTCACCAAGGAGGGTGGGGATGCAACTCAGTGCAGAGGCTCTGGGCTCAATCCCAGTTCCACAAAAACAAAGCACATTAAGTTGCCAAGGACAGTGGCCAGGTATGGTAGCCAAGTTTCTGAATCCCAGCTACTTGGTAGGCTGACACAGGAAGATTGCAAGTTCAAGGCCAGCCTAGGCAACTTAGTAGACTCTGTCTCAAGAAAATAGATACAGTAAAATAAAAATAAAGTGGCTGGGAGTGTAGCTCAAGTGGAAGGGGCTGGGACTCAGACTGTGTTACCCAAGAGAAGACAAGCTGTCTGCACCCTTTTCTGTTTTTGTTTTTGGCGGAACCGGGGATTGAACTCAGGCCCTTGCACTTGCCAGGGAAGCGTGTATTCCGCTGAGCCATCTCCTCGGCCCCTTGCACCCTCTTCTGAATACACTGTCCTGGTCACCCAGTGGAGGACGGTTCCACATGGACTGTCTGCGTGGAGGGTGCTGCCCACCAGGACGCCTAACCCCCAGGGTTCTCTTTCCCGTGGTTTTCGCTTTGTGCTCATCCTCTGCCTCTCCTGCCAGGTACAGCTGCTCAGAGGAGATTCTGACAGTGGCCGCCATGCTGTCTGTCAACAACTCCATCTTCTACCGACCCAAGGACAAGGTTGTCCATGCCGACAACGCCCGTGTCAATTTCTTCCTGCCTGGGGGGGACCACCTGGTTCTGCTGAACGTGTACACGCAGGTCGGGGCGCTGGGTGGAGGGGGGCTGCGGGCTGTGGGGTGGCAGCAGGCCTGTCCTGTGCTCAGGGCCCGCCCTCCCACAGTGGGCAGAGAGCGGCTACTCCTCCCAGTGGTGCTACGAGAACTTCGTGCAGTTCCGCTCCATGCGCCGGGCCCGGGACGTGCGCGAGCAGCTAGAGGGGCTTCTGGAGCGCGTGGAGGTGGGACTCAGCTCCTGCCAGGGCGACTACGTGCGCGTGCGCAAGGTCAGCGGCGCGTCCTCGGGCTCTGACGCCTGCTGAAGCGAAAGGCAGCGAGCTGAGTGCGTCCTGCTGCCTCGTCTCTAGGCCATCACTGCGGGCTACTTCTACCACACGGCTCGGCTGACACGCAGCGGCTACCGCACGGTCAAGCAGCAGCAGACAGTGTTCATTCACCCCAACTCCTCCCTCTTTGAGCAGCAGCCACGCTGGCTGCTCTACCATGAGCTCGTCCTGACCACCAAGGAGTTTATGCGACAGGTAGGGGAGTGGCCTGCCCAAGCCTGATGGAAACCGCAGTCACTAGCTTAATGTCCAGTCGGACAGACAGATGCCTGCTGACCTCTCCCAAGGCTCCACCTGTCGCTCACCTGTAAGGACATGGTCACCCACGTCTCTAATGTGTTCAAGGCGCAGGGCTGTCCTGGCAAGCAGGTAGCATCAGTCCTGGCTTTTTTTTTTTTTTGTAGTACTGTGGATAGAATTCAGGACCTTGTGTTTGCCAGGCAGGCGCTTATGCCACTGAGCCATCTCCCCAACCCCTGGCCATTTTCTGCGCTGGCTTCTGTCACAGATTTCCCCATAGGGCTTGACAAAGCTGCCACCCTGGCCCAGCAGTCAGAGAAAAGAGCCTTTGTCCGACCACACACTTAAGGTCCTGCATTGCAAAGGGGCCCCAGCAGTCCCTCTCTTGCAGGTGCTGGAGATCGAGAGCAGCTGGCTCCTGGAGGTGGCTCCCCACTACTACAAGGCCAAGGAGCTAGAGGATTCCCACGCCAAGAAAATGCCCAAAAAGCTAGGCAAGACACGAGAAGAGCTAGGCTAGCGCGGGGCTGCGTGTGGAGCCGGCAGCAGCTCCTCCTCTGCTTTCTATACATTATTTTGATAGCTATTAAATAAAATTATTTTTGGAATAAAGCTTGTGGGACTTTTTGGGATCCAGAGAAAGTACCATGTGAGCTTCCTTATCACAACTCTTTATTTATTTATTTTTTTACAACACTTAATTTATTATGTACAAGTGAAATACACAGCAGCGTTACGGACAGGGGTCCTGGCCCCTGCTCCTGTGCGCACGCAGCACAACTTCAGGGCCTCCGCCAGCCTCCCGCTCAGGCCTTGGGGCACACATGTAGGCTGGGTTCCTGCTCCAACAGCCCCAGTGCCACCAGGGCACCCACCAGCAGCTTCTTCACAGGGGAGGTCGGCGAGTGTGTTGGCATCAGCTGTGGGGAGAGGGCAGGCTGCCGGGCTGGGCACACACTCGGCCCACTTCACCCCTCCTGGCCAAGACTTACCTTGTCCAAGTGATGCCGGCAGATGAGGCCTTTGGAGTTCAGGTAGAAGGTGGAGTAGGCATCGTAGGTCCTGGGGAGGGAGCCAAAGGGAGACCCGAAGCATAAGCATCTGTTCTGAGAGTCCTACCCTTGCTGCAGTCCCGTGGGGAGTTGTGACGAATCCGTTCATGGCGCAGCATGAGCACCTATGGCAGACTGGCTGCCTCCTGCATTTTTTAGACACCTGCAGGTGGTTGCGCTGTGTGCAAAGTTTGGGGCCAGGAAATTTCAGCGCTCACACGGCGTGGCAGAAGCAAATGGTCACTGGAGTCTACTGGCCAAACGCCTGGCTGGCACTTAGCTGGGCTGGTGAAGTCTAGCAGGAGGCAACCCCTTTAATTTGTTCAGTGCCTTGAGCGTCTACCATGTACCAGGTGACAGTGCATGAAGAAGCAGTTCAGAGCTCCCTATCCTCCAGTCAGAGGAGGTCAAAGACTGTCTCACCGAGGGACGATTAGGGAAGCACTTGCAGGGTGAGCCCGGCCTTTTCACTACTTTTTCTTCTTTTGCCTGTTTGAGACAGGGTCTCTGCAGTTCAGACTGGCCTTAAGCTTACTTTGTAGCCCAGACTCATCCCAACTCACAAAGATCCTCTTGCCTCAGCCTCCTGAGTATGGGGATTACAGGCACAGACCATCATGCTTTTTTTTTTGAGACAGGGTCTCGCTATGCAGTTTGGGCTGGGCTTGTGCTCACTTGTGTAGCCACCAGGCTGGTCTCAACTCAGAGATCCTCCTGTCTCAACCTCCTGAGAGCTGAGGATTATAGGGGTTCAACACCACACCTGGTTCCTGGGCCGCACAGTGGGTACCTGCATTCAAGGCTGAGACAGTGTGCCGGAGGATCCAGGGCTGAGAGTGCACAGCATGCAGGACCAGGGATCAAACTCAGATCCTTGTGCTTACCACGTAGGTAGGTGCTTGTGCCTCTGAGCTATCTCCCCAGCCCATTGTCTCATTGTTGTTGTTTTGTTTTTTGAGACAAGCTCTTGCTGTATACCCTAGAACCCTTTCCCACTTCTTACTGGTAAAGCTCCACTTTGTCACGCTTGTAGAAACGCAGAAAGAGCATATGGATGGGAAGCCCTACGAGCCGCCACCGGGCCTGCAGGGTCCAGTTCTCTGGGTGGCGAGTCAACTGGAGGACCTCCAGCCGGAGTTGTGCAAAGTAGTTCCAGGCCAGGAAGCGGCAGAGAGTCAGTGACAGAATGTACCATGACCGGCCCCTGGGAAGAAGGGACAGGAAAGAAATCTCTTTAAGGTCTGGAAAGATAGCTCAGTAGAGTAAGTGCTTGCCTGAGTTCAATCCGCGGTACCGCCCAAAAAAAAAAAAAAAGAAGAGTGGGGAAACCCAAACTGGCTTCTGTCTGAGGAATGGGGAGGAGGTGTATGAAGCAGCCGGGATCTCTGAGAAGTGGAAGGGTGGAGAAGCACTTGCTTTGCCCAAGGCCTTTCCAGTGCCCCAGTTCTCACTTGGTACGAATGTTCAGAATCTCATTGATGAATTCCACGTCCGGTGAATACAAAGTATAGTCGTGGGAGTGAAGTAATAGGTTGGGAAGCTGGACAGAAAAAGATGGTGTCAATTCCGTGACAAAGGAAAGATGATCCTGTTGTTTTCCTACTTTTAGGCCCTCATTCTCTCCTCTGAAGGAAAGGTCATTGCATCCCATCCTTAGCATCCCTTAAATGAAAAGGGCACGTCTGATAAGGCTTGGGGAGCTGGGGACTGAACCACGGTCTCCTGTGCCTGCCTGGGTTGCCCCAGCAGGCGCTTAGACAACTGAGCTAACCCTAAGCCCCCAGCAGCCCTGAATTGAAACCATAGCCATAGCCCAGTGCCACACCTGCCTTGCAGTTCTACCAAAGCTGTCAGCAGATGATGCAGTTTCCAAGGATTACCTGCAAACCCTATCCACTCCCACTGTCTCACCTCTTGCCGCAGCCTCTCATGCATAACAGCCAGGTGCTCCTCCATGCTAGGGTCTCCTGGCCGGGTGGCTGGGGCAGGGTGGGCAGCCCTGTGTGCTTGGAAAGGCATCAGGGCCCCGGGATAAGGGCAGGGGGGTCCCTCGAAGAGGCTCCTAAGGCCATCCAGGCAGCCGCTGTGCAGCTCAGGCCCTGGTCCTTCTTCCCCCTTTCCGGGTGGGACAACCAGCCAAGGGGAGGCAAGCACCTGGACCTGGGGGAGAGGCAGTGGGGAAGGTGGGGGACGAGGCCGGCCAGCAGGGCAGCAGATGGGGGGACAGCGGGGTGCGGGGGGCCGAGGAAGAGGAGTCAATGGGGAAGTGGCTGCTGTGCAGTGGGACCAAAGGGGTGGGAAAGGGGGGGTCCGTGGACAAAGCTGGTCCTGAGGAGACACAACAAGGAAAAAGTGAAAAACCGTAGGTCCAGTGCTGTCATCCAAGCTCTCTCCTCACCTGCTGGCTTCCTCCAACCCCACCAACAAAAAGGATGGACTTATCTCCACCGCTTCTACAAAGGGGAGGAAAGCGGCTGCAGTGAAGTAGAGGTGGGCAGGGCGGCTCCCCCAAATACTACCAGCACCTTTGATCTGCATCCGGCACTGCTGGGGGCCAGTGCCACCTCCCCCAGCGAGAACCGCGGAAATACACACTAAGGACAGGAGCAGCAAGCTCCCCGTAACTGCACGAACTAAGGCAGTCTCCGCCGCCCCAGGAGCTGGAGGCCGGCGCGCAGGGAGAGGCCCAGCCAGCGTCAGCCCAGTGTCTCGGCTCCCGCCCGCACGCTCCTGGCTCCTCGCACACAAGGAGCGGAGCAATGAACGGACCAAGGATGTCATGCCTTTGCACGCCAGCAGGCCAGCGGCGGGCACCCGCGTCGCGGCGCGACTGCGAGGAGGGAGGTCAGCGCGGTCAGGGCTGGTCCTGCTGCAGCGCAGGGCATCCTCGAGCGCCGGGCGCCGGCACAGGGGCGGGGCACGCACTCGCGGTCCCGGCCGAGGCGGGGACCAGGTGGACGCCCCGGGCCGGCCTCCGCCCTCCGCCCTGCCCTTCAAGTCACCTCCAGAAACAGGTAACCACCGCGGCCGGGCGCCCCGTGGACGCGCCCTGCCGCCAGGACTCCAGATCGGCCGCCGCCCCCAGGCCAGAGGGTGGACGGCTCCACGCCGGGAGCCCCCGCCTTCCCGCCTTCCCGCCGCGGCCCCCGGCCCGGCCGCCCCGCGCAGTGTGGAGCAGGCAGAGAGACCCGCGCGCCAAGCCCCAGCCCCGCCCGAAGCCGCTGAACGGCCGCCCCGCCCCCGGCTCCGCCCGCCCCCGCCTTCCCGCCTTCCCCGCGACGCTCACTTCCGGCCGCGAGGGAGCTCGGGAGCGCGCCCGCCGGCTCCACCAACCAGAGACGGCGCTGGGCCGGCGCGCACGCACTCCCGTGCGCAGGTTCGAATCTCAGCCGCTTCCCGGTTGCTGCCCAACGTCCGGGCCGCCCGCGCGCCTACCCGGCCGCCTTCCAGACGCCGCCAGCCCAGCCCGGCTGCCGCGCCCTCCCTCGCGCGCCCCGCCCGCCCGGGGCCATGGCCAAGCGGCGTGCGGCCGAGCCGCTGACGTTCCACGTGCCGTGGAAGCGGCTCCCGTCGGGCGGCTTCCCAGAGGCGCCGCCGCTCTGGACCCCGCTGTCGGGAGCCTCGCAGCCGGCGCCGTCCCGAAAGCGCAAACTGGACG